AGGAATTGAGGATAAGAAATAATATTTTGTAGGTGAAATAAAATCTCTAAAAGTCTTAACCTTATAAATTAAGCAATGTCCGTAATTACTCTAAAGTCGTATTTTCAGTTAGGCTAATACATAATTCCCGAAACAAGCAGAAATTATATCCAAAGCTTGTTTAATTAACTTAATTAATCCAAATTATACAACCATATCACGAATTCTATTAATCATGTTCTTGCTATTGTATATAAAAATATGATATGGTCTTGCAATTAATTAGAAACCGACCCTCTACATGGGACTCTGATTTTCAATATTGTCACTTTATCGACAGTAATTGGTTTGCTTCCAATCTTGGCATCAGGTAAACCAGTCACATTCTGATCAGTAATGGCACAGCATAGAGATAGAGTTGTTGCTTGAGAGCAGAACCAAACGTTGCCCTTGGTCTCACCTAATTAATCGGCTAGATTCTTTCACTTCTTTAAGACACCCAAATTATCAAACCAAACCCATTAATTCCTGCTAATTAAACCCTGTTAATTAATTTTGATGATTATCCCATTTAATGTATTTTTAATTTAGTTAGTTGAACTTATTGACACGCGATTACTTCCTACACCATTGATTAGGAGTAATTTACTGAACTTCTGGTACAACAACTCTGATTTCACTAGGAAAGAAATGTCTCCAAGAATGAAAAGGACCCAAATGAATCACATTTTATAACAGTAGATCCTACAATCCTATGTTTACAACTTAAATGCAACTTTGGAGAATTCTTTAAACCTATTAAACAAAGTGTACGATGATAAAAGAAAATTAGGTTGAAGAAGAGGCCAATAATTGAATCAATTAAGAAAGTTTGTAGGCATTTAGGTTACGTACGTACTATCATGAGAACTATGTAAATTAAAGGCCAGTGGTTGAGCAGAAACTGGACAATTCTCCATTGAAGTTAAGTTGATGGTTCAGAAGGCAACAAATAGTACAACCTTTTCGACAAGCAGATTTGAAGTTTTGCTTGTTTCAATATGTTTAGATTATGGGGTCAATGTGTAGTGTCGAGGGAGATGTATAGATAATATTTTGTTGGGAATCTTTGTTCAATCTAATTGCAATGGATGGTGATCGATCGATCACTATTCATTACTTGGAGGCAATAATGTTTATGCATGAATGAAAGAAATTAGACAATTTCAGCTCGAGTTCTGGTCCACAACTATGAGGGTTTCCCTTAATTATGAGCTATTGAAATTGTCCATTACAGATGGTAAAACTTACGGTTGAGTCGAACGAGAATGATTTTGTGAGAACGAGATCATTGGCAATCTTGTAAACTTACAGGAACAAAAAAAATGAACACCAAGACTCGGAAGACATCAGTGTGGTGTCAACCATAAATACTCTGACGCCCAAATTAACATGGTTAAAGGGAATCTAATAAGACTGGGAACATGAAATAGTTTACTAGGAATGCGAAGCTCGGGTGTGACTTATCAGTATAGAGTGGTCGGAACTCGGCTCTACGATACATCATTACTTTGGGGCAATAACGTTAATGCGTGAATTTAAGAAATGAGACAATTTCAGCTCGGGTACTGGACCTGGTCCACAACTATGAGGGTTTCCCTTAATTATGAGCAATTGAAATTGCCCATTCCGATTACAATGCTAACATTATTATCTTTAGCTGTTAGTCTTGGCAACATCAACATTAACATCTTGCTGACGATCATCAATGCCTCAAAAAATCAATTGGACTCTCTGATTACAGTGATTGAAATCAAATGAAATGTTTTTGTGGTTGCCGATTTATAAACCCCTTACCAAACCTTTTATGTATATTGATAGAATGCTTTAGTAATTGAAAGGGAATATAATCATAACTAGAATTACAGCTTTTATGAGTTATGGCACTTGAAAAAGATGGACTTTAATTGAACCGAAAGAAGCTCTAATTAATTAAACGCTACCAAATTTTGCAGCCTTGGATCACTTTCAAAATAAGTAATTGGGCAAAAATTCAACATCATGGATTGTGGGATCTCTTTATTGCTTTTTAAATTATACGAATATTCATGCTAAGCCCTTTCTATACTCCACACCTCTTAACTATATAAGTTGGTTTAGACAAAGACATTACAACAAGAAAGGGATCCCGATTTAATTGACTCTTCAAATCGGTGTTGCAAGTTTCTTACTCTATGAAAATATTTACTTTTTTTGTTTTTTGTGACCGAAGTGATCGGACCAGTTTACACGCACTTCAACTAATCTGCAAGGTTCATTGAATACTTTACAAGTCCAAAAGACTAGGTAAACTATAATGTTATTGTGATAGGTGGCCTTAAGATTTGAACTCAAAAAATGGAGCAAACATTCTTGACTGTCAGACCGATCTCTTAGGATTGAAATATAAAATATTTACTTTTTTCTTTTTATGAAAAATGAGATTTTAAAGAATCAATTCCGTAAAATATGGTCCCTTTCGGGGTAATTGTAGTGTTATTGATGAAATATTTTTTTTTATCCAAATGCTCCTATTATTGGGGCCAATACACTCAATACTATTATTTATGAATTTGTTTTTTCCTTCATTTATCTCTACAGTGAATATGTGATTGATAGTTTTAACTTGATAATTTATGTGATAAATGTGTATTAGTTAATGGTATAGGTGACGTGATGTTTTCATAGAATAATAAATTTATCTCGACATGAGAAACAGATATATCAAACTTTGAAAATGCAAAATAAAAACGACACTTTAACGGACAAAAAATAATTTATGTAACTAGAAGACCTAAATCTATCATATCTTACATTTTATTATACCTTTCTTTGTCTTCAATCCCTGTCCTAGAGGCCATCAACATAATCTTCACCCTCCAACAACCTACCTTCATCTTCAAACACCAAACAAAAACCTAAATTGAACATTTCTCATGATTTTTACATCCATTTCAAGATTTATTTAAAAAAAAAAATTATTATATATATGAGAAACCCTTTTTTCTTTCCAATTAAAAACATAGAAAATATTATAGCAAGTTGCTTATTTACTAATTAGTACCTAAAGCAAGGGAGGAGCCACAGCTATAGCCCAAACCCCAAAGTGAAATTTTGTAGGGGTGGAAAAAAAAAAAAAAAAAAAACCGAAAACCGGACCGAACCAAAAAACCGGTCCGAAAAATCAGTTTTTTTCCGGTTTCGGTTTGCCATATTTTGTAAACCGAATATTCAGTTCGGTTTCGGTTTTTTGAAAAAACCAAAACAGTTAACCGAAATCAAATTTGTAAACGGTTTAATGAATAAAAGAAATAATATTATGTTTTTCAATTTTTAAAAAATTTCACAATACTCGGTACTTTAGTAGGTCTAAAGGTAAAAGCTAAAAGTTATTTTGCACATTTTCCACAAAACGTATTTTGTGCCGCCGACCAATTCCACACTTCAGCTCACTGCCAATTGCTACTGCTGTCGCCCGTCTTTCCAGTCAGTCAATCACTGTCGCCCATCTCAATTCATTGATTGGAGGTGCGTGTTTTGTGTTTCTATTTGGTTCTCAGGAATCTTTTGAAATTTGTGTAGTGGTTAAGTTTGTGGAGCTCCATGGCGTGGTGAAGGTGAGGAGGATTTATATATGATTATGTGGATCTGTTTGTTTGAAGAAACTATTGAAAAGCTGTGTCAGTTTCATCTAGATTTGTTATGTTATTGAGCTGGTGAAGTCGCTTGGTTAAGCTGTTGTGATTGACATGTGAACCAGTGTTCACTTTGGTTGTTTATGCCTTCGTTTTAGAAAGATTTTGATGATATTGTTGAGTAAAATGAATTTTAGGCTCAATTGAAAATTTTCATCTCAGTTCACTGCATCCTGTGACACTGCAAGCTATCATCGCTGTCTTTCCACTTTCCAGTCAATTGACAACATATTTGAATAAAACATACGACTTTAATTCAAATTAAAAAATGGGCCAAGATGGAGAGATGGATGTAATTGGGCTAAAATGGTCCAGGCCCATTTGAATAAACCTGTCTAAAAAGAAAAAAAAAATAGCCCAAAGTTGAGGGTTTGATTGAATTGGGCCTATTTGAGTAAACCGGTTTAAAACCGGTTAATCGAACCGAATTTTTGGTCCAGTTAGAAACCGCTTTCCAAAGAAAATCGGACCAGTTTCGGTTCAATTTTTAAAAAAACCGAAAACCGGTTCAGAATTTACTGTTGTTGACAAGGCCCAGCAGATTTCTTATCAATCTCACTCAGCCCTGTAATACACAAATGTTATTGTATTCAGAATTTACTGTTGTCTCTTTAGAGCAATCCAATTGTCAAATGGACCAAATGGTGCAAAAAGGCCTATCAATATGGGCCAAGTTAATTTAAGTTGGCGTGATTGATCTAGATATGGGCTGGCTCAAATTAATGAATTGAAACAACACAAAGAGTCAAAGATATTGAAGTAAAAATTTATGTAAAGGGGGAGACTAAGCCTATCTCACTTTGCAATATCTTATGTAGTTGGAGATTCAATTTTTATTTTTATTTTTTAATGATCACGGTGTCCGGACCAGTTGCACTCAGCTAATCGAACCCATCCAATATCCTACAAATCCAATATTACAAGATAAGTCACAAATATGGTATATGACTCTAAAGTGGTTTAAATCTTAAAATTCAATGAAAAGAAAAAACATTTTTTATTGTCAGGCCAACTCCTGAGGGTTAAGAGATTCAAATTTTATTAAAAACAAGTTAAATATAAGCTTGAAAATGCCCTATCTCATGTATTAATTCACAAATTATATTATTGTTTGAATAAGATTCAACTATGGTATAGAGGTGAAGTATATCGTTTGATTCAAGTTGAATGTTTTGATATTACAAGAAGCCAAATTCCATTTTATTCTTCTGTCTTAATTGATGTCACAGTAAGATAGGCTATCTATCCCAGTCTCCAGACGTTGGAGAATCTGCTCATAAATATTTCTTATTTGACTGAGAAACAATATTAGTCTAAGCAATTAATAATTTATTTATAGCAGGAATTGGATAACAGCTAGTCGGTGAAACAACACACACCTTTACATTAATTTAGAGCCCTACGAATAGCCAATTCCCCGTGAGCAATTTACTACTACCATGGAAACACCATTACTACACGCTAGCCATTTTCTTTCTTCAATTTATTTTGCCCATTTACATGAAAGAGAAGAAGCCAAACAAATGAACAAAGAAAAATAAGCAACATGACTATATAGTCGTCATTGATTGAGTACATCCAATATCAAGCTTGTTTGAAATAATCGGATCATTTGGACTTGAATGGAATGGCCCTGATTACAATCTGATGGTATAAGGCTGCGAGTGCCGCTCCAATGAAGGGTCCTACCCAGAAAATCCACTGCACAAACACAAAATACAGCAAGAAATTATTAGATATAGTAGATTTCATTTTCTTGGTTTGGGTTTTCAAGTGGCAGAAAGATGGAAGATGCCTTACATGGTCACTCCAGCCTTGGTCCTTGTTGAAAATTATAGCGGCGCCAAGACTCCTTGCAGGGTTAATACCTGTTCCTGTAATTGGAATAGTTGCCAAATGCACCAAAAACACTGCAAATCCGATGGGCAATGGTGCCAAGATCTGACAAAAAATGTTTAACAATCAAAGTCATTAAACTAAACTGCAATGATATGTAACCTAAAGCGTTTTCTGATATTATGATTGTGCTTACGGGAACATGGGAGTCTCGGGCATTGCGTTTAGCATCAGTGGCGGAGAAGACAGTGTAGACGAGGACAAAGGTGCCAATAATTTCAGCTCCAAGACCATCGCCCTTGGTGTATCCTTTATTGACCGAGTTTGCACCGCCGCCTAGCATTTCGTACTGGCTCTTCTCGAAACCCTTTACTACACCAGCGCCACATATGGCTCCTAAACATTGCATTATCATGTAAAACACCGCCCTGGTGAGCGACAATTTTCTCGCCAAGAACAGCCCAAAAGTCACCGCTGGGTTAATGTGACCCCCTGAACTACCAAAACGATTAATCCAACATTACATGTTAAACGCAACTCATTATCAAATGATTCTGTAAGATTGTACCTGAAATGCCGGCAGTACAATAGACAAGAGCGAAGATCATGCCACCAAAAGCCCAAGCAATACCCTGAATACCTACAGTAGAACACTTGCTCGGGGATTTCTTCACGCCCATCACAGTTAAAACCGTGATGTAAAGAAACAAAAAGGTGGCTACAAATTCAGCAATGCCGGCCCTGTAAAAGGACCATGATGATAATTCGCCAGGCTCAAAAAGTGGAGCTGGAGGTGGCTCCGTGTAGTCTTTCGCCTCCAGGGTTTGAGCAGCCGTTCCTATAGGTTGCCTTTCTCTGTACCTATTTGCTCCCACTCTTACATCTTCTTCTTTACCCTCCATTTTCTCTTTCTCTGGTGCCTCTGCTTAATGATAATGAAGAATAAGATGCAGTATCACTTAGGTTTAGGCTTTTTAAGAGAGAATTGGATCAATCAATGAGCTGAAAACTTGGGAGTGAGGGGTGGGGTATTTGTAGCGTAAGAGTTGGGCGATGAGGTGGGAAGTCTTTAGAGTGTTGTCATTGATTAAATGATTAAAAAAAAGTAAGAACTGTTTAATGTGTGTGACATGTGACCGACCATTCACGCCTTTAAAAAGTCGCTTTTTTTGCTGGAAATCACCGAAAGATTTGGATTTCCTTTAATTTTCCTTCTCATCATGGGTAATTTTCACTTCACTTTTCATATAACTTGCATTTATTCTTTACCTTTTAGTGAAAGTTTGAAGCAATTTTCAAGAAAATGATGCCTAACAATGGTAGAAAGCAACCATTCAATTATAGCAATAATAGGATACAAAAACCCACTTAAACGTTATACACATGCCTGTGTTAGTTATTTACTGGTTTTCTGCCGTCTATACTTTCGTATTATTAATATGCAAAAACAACGTTGTAGCAAATACAATGAAATTAAAAACAATTTCCAATTGACCTTTTGGCTTGACTAATTTCAACTTATTTTGAGAACTTTGTGCCCACTGTGCAGTTATCAAAAACTAAACTCTACAGGTAATATGGGATCGGTCCATAGATTCTAAAAAGATTGATTTTTTTGTTATTTGATTAATTATTTGATCGGTGCAGTAATTCTGTAGTTTTTTTCTGTTAACCAGACCACGATAGATCATGTCTTTGTTATATTTATATTTGGGGGAAAATATATTTTTTCTAACGCCTTGCTGGTAACTCTGCCATGGACTGATAGGATCTGCTCCCTCGTCCCTTCGGGGTAAAATATCTGGGTGATTTGGCCGTTTGATCGTCAGAGCATCTTTAATGTTACTTTTTATTTTTAAGAGTTTCTTTTTTATAAATAAAAAATATTTCTATTAATTTTTAAATATAAAAAATATAATTTTTATTTAAATCTAATAAATTTTTTAAATTTAATAAAAATATTCTTTATTTTAAAAAAAAAGACTTAATATGAGAGAGAAATAATAAATAAAATTTATAGAAAGTTATAGTTTATTAATTAAAATTATGATAGAGAGTAAAATTTGACTCTCTAGATGATAGAGAGTCAAACTCACTCTTTAATTTATTTTTTAAAGATAAAGAGTCTGTTAGACTCTTATTTTTATAGATACATTCTTTATAATAAAGAGTTTAAATCATATAAAAAGTCATTTACCTTAACTTTTTTAATTAATTTTTGTTGATATTCGACTCTTAGCTGGCTGGGTTATATTTTATTATTTCTATAATGCCTGTTCGTTGAATCACAAGTTCTAAAAATAACCAAACGATAAGACATGTATTAAAATGGCAGAGTGATACATTACCAATAGCATTACGGGAAAAGCAGCAGAAAAATTAAATTATATGTCATGGGCTGCATGGCTATTTGTGGATATGAGAAAAGGGTAATATTACATCTACGACTTTCTCTCGTGCATTTTTTTTTTTATAATCCTGATATGATAGTTTATAATTGATTAATTCGTAATTAATTAATAGGACTCATGCGAGACTTATGCAGGATCCATGTAAGACTCATTGTGAACTGACCAATTACGAGTTATCACGTCAGGATTGTGAGAGATGGTTATTAGTGTAGTATTATTCTTAACAAAAATATTTCATTAATTGGGTGACTTTTTATATACACATACATGCATGCAAATCTTAAGAAGATCAAACAATGTACCAAAAATGAAAAATGACAAACCCATCCATTAACAAGTATTATATACCACCCAACAACTTAATATATTCGCGGACGGGACAGCTCATGCTCATACAAAACGTCTAATTAATCCAATTTATATGCAACCTTTGCATCTAGCTTGAATTCATTAATTCAATTCTCTTGGTAGTAGATTTTCCAAGTACTGTATCCTAGCTTAATATCTAGTTATAATTTAAATGTAATTGAATTAAAATTAAATAATCGAAGAGTCCTATATATTGGTTTTTTTTTAGTTAATTGAGATGTCCAAGTCAGTTTATGCACATCTCGACTATTTTTCAGAAGAAACTATCTCACAACAATATATAGTCACAACTCTTGGTAGATTATGGACAAAGGTATTATCTTTACATTTAACGGGGAATCGAACCTGAGATTATGGGTTAAAGTCGCACATAACCTCTTTGGTTCACTCTTATTACTGGACTATCCATGGGTGGGTTGCATTTGATGATTGAAGAACATTTGGAATGTTAATCATGAAGGCTTGGTACAATAATTAGAAACAATTAATGTTTAATGATTGAATTTGAATAGCCTGGAAATGTATGAAATAACATATATAATAATTAAATTATGTCTTGATTCTCAAGAATTTCTAAAAATATTATTTGGGTAGACAAATAATATTGGGCCTTGGCTCGAGTGGCAAAATAAGGACAAAATGATTCAGTCACAGGCCATCAATGGCCGACCAAGTAAGTGACATGAAAATGGTGAGATGATTAGGCAAAGGAACAGTGCATGGTGGATGTGGGGCCTTTTAAGTTGTCCTAGTTGATTCACAGCCACGAGAACAGCGGCCAAAGTAGTCGGCAGCAGTTCAAGTCTCACGAGTCATGTCATGAGTCATGACCACCGACTTTTGCCGCCCGGTCTAAAGTTTATACACAGCACGTGAAATGAATTCAGAATTTGAGTTTAAATTCATGTCATTCCAGGAATTTGACCACTGTACATCGTTGGACTTATTGCTTCTTTTCGCTCACTCACTGTACGTTCAGTCATGTTTTTAAAGTTAAGGACAGAAGATAAGATATGCACCGGTTCACCAAATCTCGTATTTGAAAATGACTGTCTGCCTAAAAAAAACAGAACTTGCGACTTCGCATCAATTCAGACTACTGCTTAAAACTAGATTCTTATGCAGAGCGTAGCCGTCCCGCTTCCAAGGTGGGGGGGTGGGGTATCCACGTTTAGCATAGGCCTGCTTTGACGCTCTTATCCGAATTAAAAAAAGAGTAAATCACATTTACCCAACCCGGTTTGGTGAAGCTATAAGTTTCTAACAATTATTTTATAAATTTCAGATTTTTATCATAAATTAATAGAAACTGTTTAATCTAACGGTTGAAAGAGTAAAAGTCATTTCAAAGATGAAATTTTAAAATACCCATTCATTTCTCAAATTCACCCCATTGGTGATTGCGGGGTCATTTTGGTATGTTTTCGATGCAATCACCCCTCCTAACACCAATTACAATCCCTTCAACCTCCACATCAAAACCTCTAACTTTTGTTGATTGAACTCCCTAATCGTCAGTTGCAACTCTTAGTTTCAATCACGCGTTTCATCCAAATTTCGACAGGTCTGAACACTGGAACCACCCCGACATAATCAATAGCATCATCGGCTTCCCCCACCAAAACCCCCAACATTGCCATCGCAATTGCCCATTGATCATTGCCACCTCTCCCTTAGTTTTTCGCGTTTTGTCCCACATTTCCAGCCAATTCTGATCGAGGTGCACTCGGTAGAAAAGTTAGAAGTTTTGGTAAGGAGGATAAGGAATGCATGGTGTGTCGGGAAGGTCCAATGGTGTGGAATCAGGTGGATTTTTGGCTTGGCGAGATTTCCTGTGAGGGGTTGAGAGAAATTTGAGATGTGAGAGAATTTAAGAGAAAACTAACTATGTTAATTAAGGTGGGAATATGAATTTATGAAATCAGAGGTGGAAACTTGCTGTTTCGTCAAACCTTGGTGAGAAAATGCATTTACTCAAAAAAAAAAAAAAAAATAAATTCATTAATACCAGCAACAGAACAGGAAATTGGTGGAGTCAATGGAATCGCAATCAAATTAATGGAATGAGCTTGCATTTCTGCTAGAGATAGTGCCTAGACTGCACTGTAATAGATCATAAAGCTACCAAACTCCACATGGAAGAAGGCCCCAAGGTTGTAGAATCAAACTCGGAGCCGGCAACAACATGACATTATCGATTGTTAGTTACTATATTTAGTTGACATTTAATAAGAAAATTTGTATGCACATATAAATAAGGATTTAATATGTCGGTAAGACTACATGTTAAAAATATTAGAAGATAAGAAAATTTACTTTTTCAATGTATATTTATGTACAAAAAGATAAAAATTAAAAAAAGTACAATTTTTAAGTATTGATATACTAACTTTTTTATAATATGTGCCTTAAAAATATAGGTTAAGACTTAAGCAGAGTTAACAATTTTTTTCCACTAAATAATAGTTTGATGACATTTTTCCACCTATAGACTTTTAAAATATTATTTAATATCCAAATTATTCTAGTGGTGAAAGGAAAGCAAACTCGATCCAGACGTTGAGGTTTTGAGAGGAGATGCCGATGAGTTTTTGGTGGTGTGAATATTGGATTTAGTGCTTGTGATTGATCAGAATTTGACTTGAGAATGGTGGCTACACTAACCCCAATTACTCGATTGTCGACAATTGACAGGTGAGTAAGTTTGGTGAATGATGATCGGAGAGAAGAGATAGTAATGGTGTTGGATCACAATGATGTTGGACGAAAACAGAATATAAATTTGAGTAATAAAATATATTTTAGAAATCTCGAAGTGAAAAAATATCATTAAACCATTATTTCAGTGAAAAAAAAGCGTTTACTCTTACTAAAATAATAAATCAGAATGTTTGAGCTGTGAAGGAAAAAGGTTAGGAGAGTGGAACTGAAATAACAGGCCATTAATCGGCGGGGCTTGATCGCTTGAAGTCGGGTGATAAAGGGTTAGATACTGCAGGCTGAGATGGAACTCTTGGACCTACGTAATAGGCTTGACCAAATGAACTCAATCACATCTAAATAGACATGTCTTTTCCGTTGGGCTGCCACTTTTCCTAGCCCATTGGACCTATTGTGCTGAGCCCGCCCAAAACAAACAGTATATCATACTGGGTGGCCACACGATTATGAGCTGGAAAGCGATTTCTAGCCCTCAGTATTTTTGGATCCGTTTGGTTATTATTTCATACCCTATTCTTAATC